ACAACCTGTAGTCCATAAAACAATAAAACAGTGAAGGCAATAAAACAGTCAGTGGCACAATAGACAATATCACCAAACCCCATGCCTCATATCAGGTGAATGTCGGTGCTCCTGTACCCAATAATATTATCTGACAGGAGGCACTGAAGAACAGGAGGAGGAGCAGATTGGATTTCGACCCTGCCCTTCACTACCCAAAGGCATCTCAGAGCGGCTTACACTCTCCTTTCCCTTCTCCTCCCCACAACAGGCACCCTCTGAGCAATGCTCCTTCTAAACTGCGGAGTCTTGTGAGCAAAAATCCTGCTTTGTGAGCTGCTCCTGGCATTAAAGTTGTGAGCGAGCGATTTGGCTATACTGCATGAATCCGTTTGCTCTGGAGCCCTCCTTCCTGGGCGAAGGCAAAAATGTGTGAGCCAGAGGCTAAAAAACTGCGAGCCAGCTCACACTAACTCAGCTTGGAGGGACACACTGTCTGTGAGGTGGGCGGGGCTGAGAGAGCTCTTTCCAGAACTGTCCTTAAGAGAACAGCTCTGAGAGAACTTGTGACTGACCCAAAGGTCACGCCAGCAGGTGCAAGTGGAGGAGTGGGGAATCAAACCCGGTTCTCCCAGGTTAGAGTCCGCCTCTCCTAACCACTACACCAAACTGGCTGTCACTGGAAAAGGGGCCATATTCTGTGTATTGCCTGATCTCTCTGATGGCCAACCCACGTCCCCTTTGCTTTGGCACTCCCCCTGGCTGCTGAGCTGGGAGGGACAGTCACAACCGTTCTGTGGGTCGGGCCTTGCTGGGCGGAAGGCTTTTGCTCCCTTGCTCTGTGCCCCAAGACTGAGTGCTCCTGTCCACAATGGCTGAGAGTGCAGCCTCCTTTCTGGTGTAGATGGGCGTACATGAAAAGAGCAGCAAACCAACAAGCCCGGTAAAACGCTGGGGCTGCCGCTGCCATGGACCTCTCACCAGTCTGGGGAGGTGCCAGCTGAGCTGGTTTGCCATTGCCTCCCTCTGCATCACAATGGTGGTTTTCCTTGGAGGTCTCCTATCCAATGATGAACCAGGGCTGAACCTGTTTAGCTTCTGAGCTTAGCCCTTCCTTTCCTTGGCCGTCTGCTCCTCCTCCTCCTCAAAGTCAGCGGCGGCTTTTCAGTCCCCGTGCTCCACATTTGGAGATGGGATGGGAAGGTGGCTATCTAGACCAGGGGTGTCGAACTCATTTGTTATGAGGGCTGGATCTGACATAAATGAGACCTCGTTGGGCCGGGCCACGTGTGTCATAAACTGTAATGCCAGGTAGCGGAGATATAAACTTCATAAAGGACACAAACACAAAATAAAAACTTAAAATAAAAACATGCGTAAAACATTAGCTCTGTAAACTGCAAACCTACTTTGGATTTATTGACATTCACCACAGAAATCTCATGCTCAGAGTTCTGAGTCCAGGACCCAGGTTAGAACATGAAATGGCTGAGCGATTAAGAGAGTCTGGCGAAGCAAGCGATGATGCAGCAGCAGCAACAGAACTGGAAGCAGGAGATGGACCAGTTCCACTGCGGGCCTGATGGAAGCCCTCTGGGGGCCTGATCTGGCCCCCGGGGCGCATGTTTGACACCCCTGATCTAGACTCTTGGAAGGGTTGTGTAGGAAACACGAAATGCTTTCTGGCCTTTCTGAATGGCCCGTTTTCTCACCGTAACAAGCCCCTTACACAAATATTGTTGAGTTGATGGTGAGGTTTCGGGGCATCCACTGTCTCTTCTTTAGATTTACTTGACTGTTCTGTCAGCGTATGGTGGATAGTCCAGGCTCGTCAGATTCTTGTCAGATCTGGGAAGCTAAGCAAGGTCGACCCTGGTTATTAGAATCGTAGAATCACACAAAGTTGGAAGCAGTGCTCCCTCTAAGCTGTGGAGCCTGGTGAGCAAAAATCCTACTTTGTGAGCTACTGGCATTATTGCTGTGAGCAAGCAATTTGTCAACTGCATCAATTAGTTTGCTCTGGAGCCCCATCCTTCCTGCGCTAAGACAAAAATGCGTGAGCCGGAGGCTAAAAAGCTGTGAGCTAGCTCACACTAACTCAGCTTAGAGGGAACACTAGTTGGAAGGTGGTCCTAGAGGTCATCTACTCCAACCCCCTGCTCGATGCAGGATCAGCCTAGAGCAGTGGTGGCGAACCTATGGCACGGGTGCCAGAGGTGGCACTCAGAGCCCTCTCTGTGGCACGCGTGCCATCGCCCTAGCCAGGCCCAGACCATCATTAAAGTGTCGAATTCTCTGCCAAATAATTTTAAGTAAATGAAAGCATTTGGGATTGCTTTCCTTACTTTGTTTGGATCATCTTAAGTTAGTGTATGAGTTGTTTTTTCTAAAGTAAAACCTCAGTATTCAGGTTAAATGGCCGTGTTGGCACTTTGCGATAAATGTGGGTTTTGGGTCGCAGTTTGGGCACGCGGTCTCTAAAAGGTTCGCCATCACTGGCCTAGAGCATTCCTGACAGGTGTTTGTCCAGCCGCTTCTTGAAGACTGCCAGGGAGGGGGGGGAGCCAGTTTGGTGTCGTGGTTAAGTGCGCGGACTCTAATCTGGGAGAACCGGGTTTGATTCCCCACTCCTCCACTTGCAGTTGCTGGTGTGACCTTGGGTCAGTCACAAGTTCTCTCAGAGCTGTTTTTTGAAAAGAGCAGTTTCTATCAAGAGCTCTCTCAGCCCCACCTGCCTCACAGGGTGTCTGTCGTGGGGAGGGGAAGGGAAAGGAGTTTGTCAGCCGCTCTGAGACTCCTTTGGGTAGTGAAGGGCCATGGGGCATAAATCCAATCTCCTCCTCCTCCCGAGGCAGCGGATTCCACTGCGGCACAACTCTCTCTGTCCAAAGGTTTTTCCTACGATCCAGCCAGTACCTTCCCGCTCTTAATTTAAACCCATTAAATTACTTGGATGGGAGTCCAGGGTTGCTACACGGAGGTCAAGCGATGGAAAACCCACCTCTGTGTCTCTGCCCGGATTTGATGGGCCAGGCTTGCCTGATCGTGTCAGATCTCGGAAGCGAAACAGGTGCGGCCCCGGTTCCTAACTGGATGGGAGACCTCCAAAGGATGCCAGGGTTTCTGATGCGGAGGCAGGGCCATGGCAAACCACCTCCGAACGACTCTCGCCTTGAAAACATCACGGGGCTGCCATGAGTCAACTGTGACGTGAAGGCCTTTCCTACCACCAGGGTGGGAAGAAGGTTCCATTCCAAAACAGCTTTCCTGTGTTTTCCCACCTTTTCCATTAAGAATCGAAGTGGAGTCCAGCATTTTTGTCTCGATGTATCCGTCGCTCCCCCCCGTTCCCTCTATATCGTTGCGTCATATTTCCCAGAGCCTGCCTGGAAAATGTTTACTCACGTCTCTTTTTGTAGAAAAAGCCCAGCAGGAACTCATTAGCATAATTGGCCACACCCAACAGCAGGAACTCATTAGCATATTAGGCCACACCCCGACAGCACAGCTCATTGGCGTATTAGGCCGCACCCCCATGTTACCAGAAGTGTGGTCATCCAGCCACACCCACCTTTTGCTTGTTATTCTGTTTACCTTGTTTGTTGTCAAAACCCAGGGCTTTTTTTTTTTGTAGCAGGGACTCCTTTGCATGTTAGGCCGCACACCCCTAATGTAGCCAATCCTGATTAGTTTCTGCTGTTGGGTGTGGCCTGTTATGCTAATGAGTTCCTGCTGGGCGTGGCCAACTCGGGAGCCAGCCTGAACTCCGTTCCTGTGCGTTCCTGCCCAAAAATAGCCCTGCTCACGTGTAACGGGAAAGAGCCCTGACCTGGCTAGCCCAGGCTAGGCCGATCTCGTCCGATCTCGGAAGCTAAGCAGGGTCGGCCCTGGCTAGTATTTGGATGGGAGACCTCCGAGGAATACCAGGGTCGTAACGTACAGGCAGGCCATGGCAAGCCATCTCTTAACGTCTCTCGCCTTGGAAACCCTACGGGTACACCATAAATCGGCTCTGACTTGACGGCACTTTCGACCACCAATTATTTATTTATTTATTTATTATTATTATTATTATTATTATTATTATTATTATTATTGATGATGATGATGATAAATAATTAATAATTATCGTATGAGGAGATCTGAAGATTGTCTGGCAGCCTGAAGCCCTAAGCTCTTCCAACTGGAAGGGAATATGCAGGCAGGCTTGGGTTTCTAAACGATGCCTTGTTTTTGGCCTTTCCACAGATCAGGCATTGGTTGTTGATTTGGCAAGTTGATCAGGCGCTCTGCATATATTTATTTGGATGTGTTTTTTAAATTTTGCTTTTCAGCCAACGATCAGCTGCCAAGATGGTTTTGTGGCCACTCAATACAAAATAAAAGTTCCACTGCAAAGGCGCTCGCGGAGGGAGGTTCTCAGTGAGGTCCAGGCATGGTGGGAAGGGCACTGGGTTGCAGTCGCTTTTCCCTCTCGCCTTACCGGTGGTAACGGGGGGGGGTTGGAGATTATCTACATAGCAGAAGTTGGGAAAAGCATAATAGCAATTGGGCCTGATTAGGCAGCGGCTAGACCTGTAGGAGCTGCGGTGGCTCAAGTGGTTAAGACGCTGAACTGCAGGCTGTGGAAGGTCGGTAGTTCAGTAGTTCGAGACCCGGGTGCCGCAAGACGGAGTGAGCTCCCGTCTCTGGTCCCAGCTCCTGCCAACCTAGCAGTTCAAAAACAAGAAATTGCAAGTAGATAAATAGGTACCACTTTGGTGGGAAGAAGGTAACAGCGTTCTTTGCGCCTTGGTGTTTAGTCATGCCGGCCACATGACCACGGAAACGTCTTCGGACAGCGCTGACTCTTCGGCTTTGAAACAGAGATGAGCACCGCAGCCCTAGAGTCGGACTCGACTGGCTTTCGAGCAAGGGAACCTTAACCTTTACCTTTAGACCTGTAGAGCTCTGTGGGGTAAAAGTCCTTTTGCTGTTTGGCCCCCGCGGTTAACAGTCTCCCTCTTTCCTCCCCCCGTTAGAACCCTTGTCCGGAGTCTGGTGCTTCGTTCCTGTCCAAAATCTCCTTTTGGTGGATCACGGGGTGAGTGCCTGGAATGCAGAACTCCAGCCAGGAGGTTCTTACATGTCTGCTTTTAGGGAAAGTTCACTCCGGGTTCTCTTGGCCACAGCCGTGGGCCTTGCAGGAATGGAAATGCCACACTGAGATTTGGACCCTTGTGCCATCTCTGCTTCTCTCTCTCTCTCTCTCTCTCTCTCTCCTTGTTTCCAAGCAAAATATATAGGTGAGCGTGTGTTTAATTTGAGCAATGGGCACTGAAAACTCGGGACTTTTCTTTCATTGGAAAAGCTCCTGGATTATCGATAGGCGTCGTCTTTAATTTTTGGGTTCAGCTACCAAACGTGACATCTGCCCAGACTGAGACGTGTACCAGGTCCACGGCATGTCAATTTTAAATCCTCTATTTTACTTAACAATATTTATAAACTGCCTCTCCGGCAGAAATTGCCCGAGGTGATACAGAAAACTAACGGCCTCCGTTTGCAGTGTTTTTCGAAAGTGGCATAAAGCTTGTATAGATTCGGGTCCGTGTATATATTTATTTGTTTTATTTCATTATATTTCTATCCCCTCCCCGCGAACGGGCTCAGGGCGGCTTACATTTTAGGGCACCGTGTGCCAAATATAAAAACATATAAAAACAGATAAGACAGGATAAAAACAACCACATTTTACAATTAAAGTGCTCAGTGATGCTAGTCCTTCAATCGCATTTAGATGGCGTACTGTAAATGTAACAGAAGGTCCCGATTCAGCGGTGACTGATCTATCACGATGTCATGGCTCAATCTTTATATAGGGCCAGCCCACTACCCTGTTGTTACTAATGATAATAGTTGGTGATAGTGGTAGTGGCGGCTCCTAGTTGAAAGCCTGGCGGAAGAGCTCCGTCTTGCAGGCCCTGCGGAACTGTAAAAGGTCCCGCAGGGCCCTGATCTCCTCCGGGAGCTCGTTCCAACAGGTAGGAGCTGCCACTGAGAAGGCTCTGGCCCTGGTTGCGGCGAGCCTGGCCTCCCTGGGGCCTGGAATCACTAGCCGATGTTGTGACCCCGACCGTAGTGCTCTCTGGGGTATGTGTGGGGAAAGGCGGTGTAAGTGTAAGTGCAGTGTACTGATAGTGCAGTGTACTAAAGCGCAGTGTACTAATAGTGTAGTAAAAAAAAAACCCGGCCAAATAACACTAGCTTGACGATGCAGGTGGCTCCATAAAGCAGGGGCCACCACTGAAAAGCCTCCGCTCTATGACCTTGCTGATCTTGCTTTGCATAGAGACAGGACTTGAAGATGAGCTTCATCAGATGACTCAAGAGAATCGGAGGCTCACACAGAATTATTTATTTATATCCCGCCCTTCCCACGAGTGGGCTCTGGGTGGCTCACAGCAATAAATCTAGGGATCTGGGTGTTCTGGTTGATCACAAGCTAAACATGAGCCTGCAGTGCGATGTGGCTGCGAAGAAAGCTAATGCAATCTTAGGATGCATTAACACAAGCCTTGTGTCCAGATCATGGGAGGTGGTATTTCCACTCTATTCGGCTATGGCCAGGCCTCACCTGGAGTCCTGCGTCCAGTTTTGGGCACCATATTTTAGGAAGGACGTTGACAAGCTCGAGCGTATCCAGAAGAGGGCGACGAGGATGGTGAGAGGGTTGGAATCCAAAAGTCTTATGAGGAAAGGCTGAAAGAGTTGAGTCTGTTTAGCCTGGGAAAGAGAAGGCTTAGAGGGGACATGATTGCAGTCTTCAAGTATTTGAAGGGCTGTCATGTAGAAGATGGAACAGATCTGTTCTCTCTTGCTCCGAATTGCAAGACTAGATCTAACGGGTGGAAATGACAATGGAGTCGTTACCGGCTAAATATCAGGAGAAACTTCCTAACTGGAAGAGTGGTTGAGCAGTGGAACAGACTGCCTCGGGAGGTGGTGGATGCTCCTTTGCTGGACGTTTCCATGCAGAGGCTGGACGGCCATCTTTCGGGTATGTTGTAGGGCTCTCTTTCGGCTCTGCTCCTGCAGAGTGCAGGGGGTTGGACTAGATGACCTGCAAGGTCCCTTCCAACTCTAACATTCTATGATTCTATGATACTATAATACAATCTTAAAAAGAAGTCAATCAGACAATAAATAACAATATTACATTAATACAGTAATACCAATTTAAAACATTTAAAGTGGGCAGGGCAGCGCAGAACATTAAAACATGAGTTACAATTTAAACAGTTCTAAAACCATAATAAAGTGCTAGTGGTCGTTGTTGTTCCTATGACGGTAGCAGCCATTATTCGAAGTTCTCAGCTCGCAGTCAGCTCACGGTGTTCATTTTGATTGGCCTAGCAGTGCCTGCTGTTCTTTAGGCTGTTGGTGGCAATTTCCGGAATCCAGGGCCCTTTCCCATTCAACCATACGATGTTCTTCATTGGTGGTGGTGGCGGCTCCCAAAAGCCTGGTGGAAGAGCTCCGTCTTACAGGCCCTGCGGAACTGTAAAAGGTCCCGCAGGGCCCCGATCTCCTCCAGGAGCTCATTCCACCAGGATGGGGCCGCCACTGAGAAAGCCCTGGTCCTGGTCGTCTTGGAAATTTAGGGCAAGGCCTAGATAGGGACCTTAGTAGGGTATAATGCCATACAATCCCCCTTCGAAAGCAGCCTTTATCTTTAGGGGAACCGATCTTTATAGTCTGGAGATATAGTCTAGAGATTTCAAGGCCTCGCCTAGAAGTTGACAACCCCAGTCGAAATATTTATTCACACTAAATGGCTGATGGATAAATAGTTCCAGGTGGGTCTCGTTTTCTTCCCTTCCCTATCTCTGACTTAAATAACCTCTTTTCCGATACAGGTTGATGGTCCAGGGGTATCGGCATCCGCTGGAAGCGAAAGACCTGTGGTCGTTAAACAAGGAGGACATGTCGGAAGAGGTGGTGCCAGGCTTGGTTAAGAACTGGGCGAAGGAGTGCGCAAAGGCGAAAGGGTGAGCTCTCTTGCAAGGATGGTGAGAGGGTTTGAATCCAAGTCTTACGAGGAAAGGCTGAAAGAGTTGGGTCTCTTTAGCCTGGGAAAGAGAAGGCTTAGAGGGGACATGATTGCAGTCTTCAAGTATTTGAAGGGCTGTCATGTAGAAGATGGAGCGGATCTATTCTCTCTTGCTCCGGATTGCAAGACTAGATCTAACGAGTGGGAATTACAAGGGAGTCGATACCGGCTGAATAGCAGGAGAAACTTCCTAACTGTTTGAGTGTTTGAGCAGTGGAACAGTCTGCCTTGGGAGGGGGTGGATGCTCCTTCGCTGGACGTTTTCATGCAGAGGCTGGACGACCACCTTTTGGGTATGTTGTAGGGCTCTCTTTCGGCTGTGCTCCTGCAGAGTGCAGGGGGTTGGACTAGATGACCTGCAAGGTCCCTTCCAACTCTAACATTCTATGATTCTTACGCTGGAAAACCCTGACCCTGGCACTCGACAGGGCGCATCGGCCGAACTCTTTTCTCGCTAACCAAAGAAACTGTTTCATTTCAGTTGTAAGTTGCCTTGAGTTCTGCAGGGGCGAATAAATGATGTAAACACATCAGTGGAATAAAAGTAGTTCAGGCCGCCCATCGGAGGGCATCACTTTGACAAACAGCTGTGAACGAGGGGCACCGTCCCTTTGCTTCCAGCTCCCCCCCCCCCAGCAGTTTCCTCCTGGAGACTTGGAAGATGCTCCTGTTTCTATCCCCATTACCTGTTCCGCTTGCTCAAGAGAACTTTCCATTCTCTCTCTCTTTTTTTTGAAGCATATAATTTAGCAAAAGCTCACCTCCCTCACTCGCGAACCTCTCTCGTCCTCAGATAAAAATATCCACAATTCTTCCCCGTTTTGGCGGAGGCAGCCACTCTGGCTCTTTGCTTAATGGCAGAGGACAGAAATAAACCGCTGATTTACTTTGTCGTGTTCCTTTACTTGTCCTGCCCGCTCTTTGTGTTCTCTGACCCAAACTTGAGTCTCTAGCTTTGTCTTCCATTTTTGTATTTTTTCACGAGTAATCTTATTTCTTTTTCCTTTTGTAATTTCCCATTTCCGTCACTTTGCTGGGCCTGTCTGGTTTCCCTTTCCAGCTACCTGTCTTTGGATACTTCCGCTTGCTAACCAAGATTGCTTTCGTAGATGCGAAGATATTGGCGGTTAAAATGTGTTCTGTGCGATTGTGTGTCTTTGTGCGCTGAGCATAGCCCAATCGTGCTATTTGGGCTCACGGGGCTCAGGGCTGAACGGTCATGGGAGTCGCCTAACCTTTTTAAAGAACCTTCTCCTCAGTAAATTTTGAAGTGTAACTTGAGGGTACTGGGACTGCAGCCAGTTTGGTATAGTGGTTAAGTGCGCAGACTCTAATCTGGGAGAGCCGGGTTTGATTCCCCACTCCTCCACATGCAGTGAGCTGTGTAACCTTGGGTCAGTCACAAGTTCTTTCAGAGCTGTTCTCTCAAGAGCAGTCCTCGAACGAGCTCTCTCAGCCCCACCTCCTTCACAGGGTGTCTGTTGTGGGGAAGGGAAGGGAAAGGAGATTGTAAGCCGCTCTGAGACTCCTTTGGGTAGTGAAGGGCGGGGTATAAATCTAAACTCTTCATATGCTTGTATTATGCAAAATTCTCTGGGACAGAAAACTAATTGGATGCCCTCAAAAGTATTTGCAGAGGCCATTGCTTGCGCACTTGACTGCTTATCCCAGGCAAAAAAGTTCAGGGTTTTCTGTCAAATTGTTTTGACAGAAACTATGGGGAATTTCAGACAGGCGATAGATTCCGGAAGGGAACCGGTTCTCAAACGGGTTCTGGTCTGTCATTTCAGACAGAACCCATTTGAGAACCGGTTCCCTTCCGGAATCTGTTTGCCATTTCATACACAAACGCTTCAGTCCCATTTAGGAACCGGGACTAAAGCGTTTTACCTGTCATCCATTCCCAAGTGGTCTCCAGTGTCCTCTCCCGGTTCCGATATGCTTTTTTCCCGCCTTTTTTCACCCGCGTGGGCGATCTCTGGCTGGTTTTTTTTTAATGTTCAATTTATAGCGTTATAGCGCTATAGCGCTATAACAGTATAACGGAATAGCATTATACCAATCCCACTGGAATGTATGGAGTGTTTTGTTATACTGCTATAGCACTATAAATCGAACGTTTTTTTTAAAAAAACAATCACCTGTGCGGGAGGAAAACGGCAGGAAAACAAAGCGGTGCAAGTCTGAAATGCCAAACCGCTTCTGATCCGGCTCATTTCCGGTAGGGGCAAGCCCTGTGTGAAATGGCAGCCTTGTACCGTTTCACTCAAAACGGATGATTGCCGGCTTGAAACCGGGTGAAACTGGGTAATGTGAAATTCCCCTATATGTATTAGCTTATTCACTTCATTTACACCTTGTCTCCCCCCACCCCCAGCAATGGGGACCCAAAGTAGCTTACATTGTTCTCCTCTCCTGCATTTTATGCTCACAACCAGGGCTATTTTCGGGCAGGAACGCACAGGAACGGAGTTCCGGCTGGCTCCCGAGTTTGCCACGCCCAGCAGGAACTCATTAGCATAATAGGCCACACCCAACAGCAGGAACTCCTTAGGATTGGCTGCATTAGGGGTGTGTGGCCTGACATGCAAAAAGGCCCTGGGTTTTGACAACAAGCAAGGTAAAGAGAATAAGAAGCAAAAGGTGGGTGTGGCTGGATGACCACACTTCTGGTAACATGGGGGTGTGGCCTAACATGCCAATGAGTTGTGCTGTCAGAGGTGTGGCCTAATATGCTAATGAGTTCCTGCTGTTGGGTGTGGCCTATTATGCTAATAAGTTCCTGCTGGGCTTTTTCTACAAAAAAAAGCCCTGCTCACAACCAATGCTCCCTCTAAACTGGAGTCTTGTGAGCAAAAATTCTACTTTGTGAGCTGCCGGCATCAATGTTGTGAGTGAGCAATTTCGCTGTTGCATAAATTAGTTTGCCCTGGAGCCCTCCTTCCTGAGCTAAGACAAAAATGTGTGAGCCAGAGGCTAAAAAACTGTGAGCTAGTTCACACTGACCCAGCTTAGAGGGAACACTGCTCACGACACCCCTGTGAGGTAGATTCGGCTGGGAGAGTATGCCTGACCCAAGGTTATCCAGCAGACTTGGACATATGGGGGATTTGAACCTGGGTCTCTTAAGGCCTAGTCCAGAACTCTCTAGCTACCACACCACACTGCTTCCTAATGTTCAGGGGTTTCATGTACATACTACTGTTTTTGGTTGGTACAAATATGGCCGAAAGGGAGTGTGTGTGTGCGCTGAGCGGCACTGAGTGTAGCCCCTCTGGGCACTTTTCTCTCACAGGCAACCCGCGCCAATGATGTACTCGCCCAAGAAGTCCGCGAAGCCCAGCGGCTCGAGCGGGGACGTGACAGAGGAGGCCGAGGCCCTGATCCTGAAGCCGTGCCGGCGGGAGAGGGAGCCGTCCCTCTTCAAGGTGTTGTACAAGACCTTCGGTCCCTACTTCCTGATGAGCTTCCTCTTCAAGGCCTTCCACGACCTCATGATGTTCACGGGGCCTGAAATCCTCAAGTGAGTCGGGGCGGGCTCTCCTTGCCGCGTCGTGAAATAGCTTGGGTCGCGCCCCGCCTCCCCGCTGCATCACGGTGACTTAAAGGGTTGCTCATCGAATGGCCGTCTCTGCGGTCGCGCTTCTGTCCCTCTGCCAATTCTTACCCCATTGAAGAAGAAGAAGAGGAGGAGTTTGGATTTATACCCCGCCCTTCACTACCAAAAAGTGTCTCAGAGCGGCACACAAACTCCTTCCCCTTCCCCTCCCCACAACAGACACCCTGGGAGGTGGGTGGGGCTGAGAGAGCTCTTGACAGAAACTGCTCTTTTTCAAGGACAGCTTTTATCAGAACTACGGCTTGCCCAAGGTCATCCAGCAGGTGCAAGTGGAGGAGTGGGGAATCAAACCCGGTTCTCCCAGATTAGAGTCCGCGCACTTAACCTCTACACCAAACTGGCTCTCTTGATAGGACACCTGGGCATGTTAACACAAAACAAAGCAAGGCTTCACTGGCCCCTATCAGATAAAGATGCAGAGATTACACATTCAGTCGCTGAGTTTTGTGCATTAATTCTTAGACTGCGGGAATCGCATTTTCAAAGTTCTTAAATTCAGATTTCTATTTCTGTATGTTATGACTGGGGGGGGGGTTCTTCTCTCTCCCTCACATATTATGCTTACTCTGTATGTTGGTCTTAAGACTGTAATAATAAAACTAAAACATAGTAGAGGGGAACAGAGAAGAGATGTGTGCCACCTTTCGTAATTACACAATTTATTTGTTTAGTCACTTAATCTGTACCCAGCCTTTCTCCCTTAATGGGCACCCAAAGCGGTTTACATCAGTCTCCTCTCCTTCGTTTTTGTCCTCACAACAACCCTGTGAGGTAGGGTAGGCTGAAAGTATGACTTCCCCAGAAGAAGAGGAGGAGGAGGAGGAGATTGGATTTATACCCCACTCTTAACTACCCGAAGGAGTCTCAGACTGGCTTTCAATCTCCTTTCCCTTCCCCTCCCCACAACGGATACCCTGTGAAGGAGGTGGGGCTGAGAGCTCGTTCGAGGACTGCTCTTGAGAGAACAGCTCTGAAAGAACTTGCTCCAGGAGAACTTGTGACTGACCCAAGGTCACCCCAGCAGCTGCATGCGGAGGAGAGGGGAATCGAGATTCTCCCAGATTACAGTCTGCGCTCCTAACCATGACACCAAACTGGCCCCCAAGGTCACCTAGCAAGCTTCCATGGCGCAAGCGGGGATTTGAACCTGGGTCTGCCAGATACTAGTGTGACACTCTTAGCTACTATGCCCCACAATGAAAGAAGAGAAGTTAAAACTGTTGAATGGAGGAGGACTGGGCCGCTTTTGCGCACTTGGGAGAAGCCCCAGGTATTTCCCCGTGGCTGGTCTGTTTGGACTGTTCCTGGTGTGTAACTGCACGGGGGGGGGGGTGTGTCGCTTGATGGAACAACAGCCGTGGGCAAGTTCGGCCTTCTTTTGTGCTTTGAAATAGTCCAGGGGGTCACTTAGGGCCCTTTCCGCTGAGCACTACAGTCCAGTTGGCTACCGTTAGCCCTGTGAGGAAGGTCACTGTGGATCCTGTCGGAGCTCTGAGGCCATGAATCTTGTGTCTGGCCCAAGGCCGCCCGCTGCCTCAGTGGCTTAGCGCACCCTAGGCCCCCCAGCCCTGTGTCCCAGTTCTTCATCTGCCGGCCCTCGGCTTCTGTGTTCCCCCCTCGCCTTTTGCTTGTTGGCAGAGTTTAAACATGCAGAGGAAGGGGGCACCAACTGTTTAAAGAAAATAACTCGGTTTATTAAAGAAATAAACTCTGATAGAACAGAGGAGAGGGAGAGAGGCTTAACTAACAGACTAACTGCTGTGAGAGGCAGCAGCACAGGGGGAGGGCCCAGTTGGAGCAGGAAGTCTCCATGGAGCCAATCAGGAGAAGGAAGGACGTAATTTGAAATTGTGGGAAGTGCCTAATCTGGCTATGCTAACTAGCAGTCCTTCAGAAGAAGAGAGAAGAGATTGGATTTGTACCCCGCCCTTCACAACCCGCAGGAGCCTCAGAGCGGTTTACAGTCTCCTTTCCCTTCCCACAACAACCCTGTGAGGTAGGTGGGGCTGAGAGGGCTCTTTTGAGAACTGCTCCTGAGAGAACAGCTCCAAGAGAACTTGTGACTGACCCAAGGTCACACCAGCAGCTGCATGTGGATTAGAGTCCGCGCTCCTAACTGGCACTCCCCTATGGGCTGTGCTTCTGATGTTCTTCAAGTAGGTGCATGATAAAACTTGCATGTCCCCTCATTGTTTTCCAGGCTGCTGATTAAGTTTGTGAACGACAAAGACGCTCCCAGCTGGCAGGGCTACTTCTACACGGCCCTCCTCTTCATCTGCGCCGGCCTGCAGACCCTCGTCCTCCACCAGTACTTCCACATCTGCTTTGTGACGGGAATGCGGCTGAAGACTGCCGTGATCGGTGCCGTCTACAGAAAGGTGATGAATGGGAATGGAGGACATCAGGGTGGGCGGGTGCTCTTGTGATCCGCTTTTCCGTGCATGAAGCTTTGATAATGCTGCTCCTTAATGTTCAGATCGGCTCTTGGAGCTCAAATCCATTTACGTGCATTATCTTAAAACAAAGTTCGAGTCCAGTGGCACCTGTAAAACCAACAAGGTTTGATTCTGGGTATAAGCTTTCATGTGCATGCACACCGCTGAGACCAACGAAGTTTGATTCTGGATATAAGTTTTTGTGTGCATGCACACCTCTGAGACCAACAAGGTTTGATTCTGGGTGTCAGCTTGCGCAAGCATGAACGTCTTTGAGACCAACAAGGTTTGATTCTGGGTGTCAGCTTGTGCAAGCATGCACATCTTTAAGACCAACAAGGTTGTAATAAGCTTTCATGTGTATGCACACCTTTGAGACCAACAAGGGTCACACGGGCCGGATATCGCAGGGGGGAGGCGTGGCTGTTTGCCTCGCAACGAAATTACGCGCGACTGCGCGATCAGGCATCCCCTCGAGGTCCCATGGTTAGAGGGGAGGTGCCGATCACACGACGCGCCAAAGTAGCGGCGCGGCACGACGGGGTTGTAGGTTTTTTTTTTTTTTAAATTGAACCGGAAGTATGCGCATGCCCCGTTGGGTGCTTGTGCGCATCCCTGGAGACTTCGCGGAAAAAAACCCTTTTTGCAATGGGGCATGGGCGGCCGCCGGATACCACCGGAAACTCGATCAGACGCCCGCCCTTGCCCCGCGGTTTCCCAGAAACTAGTACCTCCAAGGTACTAGTTTTTAACCACGCATCTTCGGCGGGAAGCCTCAGGTGCGCCACGGGAGCTCTACGCTTCTCAGATGTGGCGGTGAGATCGCGCCCGGAAAATCCGCCGATCTTCCGTCACAGTAGCGTGGCTACCGCTCCTTGTGACCGCAGCCAAGGTTTGATTCTGAGTGTCAGCTTGCGCAAGGATGCACATCTTTAAGACCAACAAGGTTTGATTCTGGGTATAAGCTTTTGTGTGCATGCACACCTTTGAGACCGACAAGGTTTGATTCTGGGTGTCAGATTTTTTTTTTCAACGAGTAAAATATGTATTAAAAAGAGAAAAAGGGTTACAAGCATACTTTTAGCGCTGCACCAGATCAGCAGCCAGAAGGACAAATAAAAGTTGGTCGTAATTGCATCCTTCTTTCCCTGGTTCTAAATTTACTCCACTAGGTGTTGAAACAGCAGGCAATTTCAAGCTTAGGAAGTTACAAAAGGTTCTGAAGACGTTTCATTACCTCGGCTCTCTGCAGGGATTTTCTGAGAGTCTCTCGAAGCAGATTGTCAAGAAGCAAGGAAACCAGGAGTCCCAGAAAGCAGATAGACAGGTGGTGGTTCCTCAAAAGGGCAGGAAAAGTGTCAGGGAGTTGGCATGGGACATTTCTGGAGCAGGGCAGCTGGGAATTAGCGGGCCTAGGCCGAGGCTTCTGTTGGATTCTTACTGGCCCCGGTTAGCACAAGGTGCGAGAGACTGGTGTGAGTCGGTGGTGTCTTGCCAGGAAGTGGGCGAGAGTGTGTGCAAGGTCAGGGCGTCTATTCTGGGGAAATTTGGGAGGACTGGCAGGGGGCTGCTGGACTTTGAAAGGGACAAGTGGATAGAGATGCAAAATTTCCGGAAATTTTGAAGCTCGGGAAAAAAAACAGTTTTTGCCCGGAAAAAAATGGAAATTTTCGGAAAAATTGGGGGGGGGGGGGAAATGCTACATTAGCACTTCTTTTTTCTTTTCCAGATTGAAAGTCATTCTGTTACTTTAGGAACACAAATTTGACTATGGACATTTTTACTTGGCATGAAATTATCACAACTAGCATATTAAAAATATAGTGTATCCAAACAATTATTACAAACAGAATACCCACCCACATGCAAAAAGAAAACTGAAACCTTTTTCTTTTCTTGAGACAATAGCACCTCCTAAAGGAAGAAATGCACCTTGTTCTTGCATTGGAGAGTTCAGTTTGTAACCTAGGACTTGCTTGTCCTCAGTGCACAGAAATTAGATCAATCTGATACCATACGTATTTTTTTAGAAATGGTTTGGAAAATATTTGAACACCTTGTCTTAAAATATTTTATTCATCATGTTAAAATAAAATATTCCATAATCATTTTTTCCCTTTTCTTTTTTCAATTTTTCCAATTTGGGGGGGGGGGACAAAAAAGGCTTCCGGAAAAAACCTGGTTTCCCCCTGAATTTTTCCGGTTTTTTTTCGGGCTTTCACATCCCTACAAGCTGAAAGAAGGGGTTCCTGAGGCCAAGGAGTCAGTGACTGATCGTGCATGCACATCTTTAAGACCAACAAAGTTTGATTCTGGGCATAAGCTTTTGTGTGGTGTCTGAAGAAGTGTGCATGTCTTCATGGTGCCCCACTGGTCTCACACTTTGTTCTGTTGCTTCAGGCCAACATGGCTGCCCACCCGGAATCCTTACAAGAGCCCTGTGAAGTAGGCCAATAGTGTCATGAGAGAGAAAGAGAGAATATTGCAACAAGCCCAAAAGTGGCCAAGATTTGTGTGCGAACGTGACCTAATTGCTGTGCTCACACGTCCGTCTCGCCACCATTACATGCTTAAGAATTCCTGATTTGGATCAAGAACCCTGGACTGAGTGGCAGTTCACTCACTCTTCCCACCAACTGGGATCCTGTTCCTGGGTTAAACCGTGGTTTGGAATCCTGGTTTGTGGGAAGTAAACACATGGTGATTCGGTCCGGCATCTGCACGTGTATTGCACCGTGAACCAGAATTCGTTTTCGCTCTAGGAAACATTAATTGCGCTCTGCTCAAGGGGTCTCTGTGTGTGCGCGCGTGCACTCCCGTGAGCCCACCTCTCACGCACAAATCAGTCAGCAGCCCATGAGTGGTTCTGTCTGGCATTGCTGTGTTTGTTTAGAAGTTCCCCCTGGAGACAGCTGCTCAAAAAGGGACTTGCGCCTTCGAAGCGTCTCTTGGCAACTTTCTGACTTCTCCCTTGGGAATGGCACAGGCAGGCTTACAGTTACTGACCAGGGGATTTGGCGGCACAGATCTCTGTCCCTCTTCCCTAGAGAGGGGAAGCTCTTCTCTGCTGTTTTGCGCTGAGCTGGATCTTCGCTTTCGACTCTCTACTTTGCAACACAGAAGTGTCTGAGAGAGTACAGCATCTGGGTTCGTTTAGTACACCGTCCTTCTGCAGTTTGTGTCTTTCCCGGCCATAAGCCAATAGAATCAGGAAATCGCAACATCTAATGGCTGAACCGAGTCCAACTGGATGGAGCGGAAAGGTTTTCAGTTCTCTGCTCAGCAGAGACGGCGCCACCGAGAAAGTTCTGCTAGGCTTCCCATGAGATGTCCAGGGCATTAAAAACCACAGTGGACTGGTGGCCAGTGCAGCCCTTCCAGTGCCAGTATAATATGCCAGATTGCATTCAACAATGGCAACGGTATCGTGAACAATCTTCAAGGACAGCCCCATCTAGAGTGCACTGGCAGTCTAGTTCAGAGGTCACAAAGGTACAGAAGATCATTTATTTATTTATTTATTTATTTATTTATTTTGCGATTTATATCCCGCCCTACCCTTACGGCCCAGGGCGGCAAACAAGCGGCAGCGCCGGAGATAAAACATAAATACATTAAAACCTTAACAAATTTAAACTAAAATGGTGCTCTACAATTCAATTTTAAAACTTCAAGATGGTCGATATCCCTCACTGGCGGCCGATGGTAGACGAAAAACAGGAACGCCAGGGTAATGTTCCTCTTGGGGCAGCAACAACCCTTGCCCCTTTTTAAGCCAGGGAGATGGAAAGTCAAGCCACGGTGGTGGTAACGTGGCAGCGGCGGCGGCTCCTACTCGAAAGCCTGGCGGAAGAGCTCCGTCTTGCAGGCCCTGCGGAACTGTACCAGGTCCCGCAGGGCCCGGATCTCCGCCGGGAGCTCGTTCCACCAGGTAGGAGCCGCCACCGAGAAAGCCCTGGCTTTAGTTAGGGCAAGCTTGATATCCCGGGGACCTGGAACCTCTAAAAGGTCCAGACTCCCCGACCGCAGCGCTCTTGGGGGAACATATGGGGAGAGGCGGTCCCTCAGGTAGGCTGGACCCAGGCCATTCAGGGCTTTAAAGGTAAGAACCAGCACTTTGAAACGAATTCGGTACGCTATAGGCAGCCAGTGCAGCGCTTGCAGCACCGGCCGGATGTGGTCCCTCCTTGAGAGACCCATCAGCAGCCTAGCCGCAGCATTCTGCACTAGCTGCAGCTTCCGGATTAGCGACAAAGGCAGCCCCAAGTAGAGAGCGTTACAGTAGTCTAGCCTCGAGGTGACCGTCGCGTGGATCACAGTGGCCAGGTCCTCGCGGCTGAGATAGGGGACCAACTGCCGGGCCAGCCGAAGATGATAGAAGGCTGACCTAGCTGTGGCTGCCACCTGGGCCTCCATTGTTAGTGAAGAGTCCAGGAGCACTCCTAAACTCCTAACCTCCCGCATAGGCACCAAAGGCACCCCGCCGAAGGTCGGGAGAAGGAGCCCTAACTCCCGGCCGGTCCGACACAGGCCCAGGACCTCCGTCTTTGCCGGGTTTAATTTCAACCGACTCAGCCTGAGCCAACCAGCCACGGCTTGTAACGCCTGAGAAAGGTCATCGGGACCAGAGTCCGAACGGCCGTCCAACATCAGATAGAGCTGGGTGTCATCAGCATACTGATGACACCCAAGCCCATACCTCCGGACAATCTGGGCGAGGGGGCGCATGTAGATATTAAATAGCATTGGGGACAACACGGCTCCCTGGGGCACTCCACACTCAAGGGGGTGCCTTCGGGACCGCTGGTTCCCCATTACCACCCTCTGTCCCCGACCCTGGAGAAAGGAGACCAGCCATTGAAGGGCAAGCCCCTTTACTCCCACGTCGGCTTCAGACCTTTGGTCACATGAGCTTAATAATAAAGGAAAGGCTAAAGCCCAAACAGAGTTCTATCCTTCTGAGCTCGTTGACTTAGATGGGTGTAACTGCTTAGGATCACACTGAGAATGCTTAGGCAGGTTTAAATTCTGGAATCTTTCACGACAGAAAAAGGAGTGCTTTACATGAGAAGACTGGGGGGTGCATCCTATCCAGGCAGTTTTGAACCCCATCTCCTCTCGCCAGGGCTTTTTTTGTAGAAAAAGCCCAGCAGGAACTCATTAGCATAATGGGCCACGCCCAACAGCATATTAGGCCACACCCCAGACAGTACAGCACATTAGCATATTAGGCCACACCCCATACCTTCCCTTGGCTTGCCCGGGCACCCCGTGACTGTGGGGCACCCGGGCAAACCGGCCCTTGGACAGGCTGGGGAAGGTACGGGGAGGCATTTAAATGCCTCAGAGTAGCG